AAACAAATAGATATTAAGTATCCTTCCCGACCTCCGATTGCAACAAAAATTGGTAAGCTTACTCATAGACTTACAAGGAAGGTGTCCGAAAAGTTTAAAGCATATCCAACCATCAGACATTATGTTACAGCTAAAAGCAGCGTATTTTGCCCCATTTTGATCACTATATCAACTCCGATATCCACCAAATCAAGAAAACAACAAATTTTTCAAGAAAACAACAAATTTTTATTTAAATCAATTATAGCAACAATTTGAAAAACTTTAAAGCTCTTCTATTACCATGGAATATACTACGGGTATGGTGACTTGGGCTATTGAGTTGTTAAGTAGATTAAGATTAGTAAACCTGCATTTGCATTGTATATTTTATAAAAACTAGAAATTAGGCTTCACGGTAAAATGGAGAAGCAGGCTGATCTTGGAGAGAGCAGACCGTAAAGTTTACGCACCCACCAGGGCTACCTACCTACCCCAGTTGTTCTTTTTGGTTTATCAGCTTGTATTGTTATATTTATGGACCCCAAGTCACCACACTAAGAAGGAGTATGTAAAAAAAAATAATAATAATAATAAATTAAGTTAATATCATCATATCTGTTTAAAACAGTAAAAGTCAAGTTGAGGATTGACTTTCCTAGTTAATTTAAAGGTTCAAACGTTTGGGAATATAATAATGTTGGTATTTGTATCTGCTGCAGCAATAATATCGAAATATCATTTGTCTAGAAAATTTTCGCCACTTCAATAGATATTGGGTCGGCAATTTGGTGAGTGAGTGATGAGATGGTTTGGTCTGTGATTGAGTGAGGGGCGATGTGAAAGTTGTGGTAAGTCCAGGTGTTATTATTGTTGATGGATTGAGATCCCAGGATGATACTTTTACAGCGTAATTTAACCAAAGATACAGAAGTAGTGAGGATTTTTCGGACAGTTGTGAAAGCCCTATTGGAAGGTCGTCGCCAATTTTCAGAATGATCTCATTCAAGGAACTGAAGATATATCCAAATAATACGACAAAAATCAACGAATTTGGTCAAATTTGGTCAAATTACGCGACTTTTACAGCTAATTTTGCTCCAAAAGCCGCGCACCATCAAATATGGCACCTAGGCGAAACTCACTGATCTTTCCAAAAAGGTATGACAAATTTGGTATTGTAAAAATTTTCACAGTCTCTAGAAAACAATGGTACAAAAAATTTTAAAATCCGAGCAAGTTTATTTTTATGGTGCACCCCCTACCATAACCATAACCTAAAGCAAGAATGCTAGTTTGCGCGGCGCGTCGAAGCGGCGAAGTCCTCCAATCTGTCATGTTCATAAACATAGAGATTAGGCGGAATGAAAGGCTGAGCGCGGCTTTGTATCACGTGGTGACCCCCACAGTCGCTTCACTATACCCCTGTATTTTTCATCAAAATATCAATAAGTTATCATTTTATGCACTGAAATCTTTCAAAATTGGCGAGTTTGCCCAAATATGGGCATCCTTTTATTCGAAAAAATTTATTATATGATATGGAGCATATCTTTTAATACTTATCATATTACATAACCCGTTATATGCTCAATTCCTATCCTGTATCCTCTGGGTTCTCTCCTCTGTATTTTCAGATCTGTATCTTCCGTATCTTCTCTGACATCTTATTTTCATTGACGGTTATTGTTTTTGCTCAGTCCATTTCCTGAATCATCTTAATTTCTAGAACCATTCAGTTTTAGTTCATCCATGGACAGCTATGGCCTTATTTCACCCCCAGTGCAGTTCACACTTTCATGGACATCTTTGGCATAGTATTAGAGTTAGACCCTCTATTCACTGTTCTGATCTTCAGGTTACCTCATCACCTGCCACATTATTTCCCTCTTGGAGCTCGGTCTTTCATTGTTTTTCTAGCAGCCACTTGTTTTTTTGTAGTTCATTCGTAGTCTGTACTATGTAAGATATGATTCGATAAGATGTTCAAAGAGGAAAGTGGAGAGCAGTTTACTACTAACACTTTCTTATTGTGCTTTCATCTCTAGAGTGTGAGATCTAGATAGTTGTTCTTGAATATTTTATAATAATTTCATCTAGAAAACTGATCTCTCACTCTAGGAGAGTACACAGCATGTAAAATATGTGTTCAAAAATGAGAGTTAATGAGAGATCATGACATGCGAGTTAAGAAATCGCAACGGTAACATGAACACCGAGGATAGTACGGAGGAGACGACCCCACTTGTTCAGAATGAGAAGGATATATGCCCATTATCACCTGGGAGGTGGGCTAGATGGAGACTTATTTCTTTATCTGAAGCTTTACAGGTTTGATGTTTATGTTCTTTACTTATAAATGTAACAATAAATTGGTTTTTGTCTAGGTTTACTTTGTTTTGTTGATAAAGTTCAGTTTACCAAGGTGATATGATAGTCAACATAAAAACAATAGTGATCATAGCAACCATAGCAATCATAGTTACCATAGTAATTACCATAGTTACCATAGTTACCATAGTTACCATAATTACCATAGTTACTGTAGCTACCATAGCTACCATAGTAACCACAGGAACCATAATACTTTTGGAGGTCATAGTAACTATAATATCGCAGGTAATACCTCCGTTCTTCTTGGCTGGCTTGGGAACATTGGCTGCTGGACTCCTTCTGGACGAAGTTCAGGTGAACTATTTGAATCAAATTATTAAATTCATCAAACATAACAATAGGGTCATTAAATTTACTGCAATCTTTGATTTTGGTCAAGACAGAATGTACAATTTAATCAAATTTTCTCTTGTTTGGGATGACTTATTGTGACATTGTCAGCACTGGGAGGTATTTAAGACAATATCAGAGTTATTTGTGTTGGTACCCGCACTATTGGGACTGAAAGGAAACTTGGCTATGACTCTGGCTTCACGGCTCAGTACAGAGGTGACTATAATACATTATATGTAGTTTAGTTGTACAGTTACCTGCTTACATTCTCTTTCTAATTTTATCCAATTTCCTTGATTAGCCTGGTTTTAGCAGACGACATTAAAATGAGATTATTTCAGACACACAGGGGTATAGATAACCACGTGACAGTAGTGGCCGGGTATCTTGCACTGGACCAGGTGCGTTTTAATGTAACTTTAACTGGTTTCAAAACCAGGTGTAGATCAAATCATTTTAAACTATAAAAATTTAATAAGATCTTTCAATACCTTTATACTGACTTCTCATGCTAACTACTGCTGGTTAATGAGTTTAATGTTTCCCATGTGGCTGCTTATTCTATAGTCTATAGTCTACTTTTACACAAACACGCAGGTGCTGTTTTTAACTTTCATCATCAAACTCTGTCCAATAGACTAGCCTGTAAAGAAACAAATATTTACTCGTTTCTTACACACACAGGTAATGAGAGTGTACAATATCCAGTTCTATGGTTTTTAAATGTTAAAATGGTTATTTGTCAATTCGTTTAAGAAATTCTTGCCAATATTATGTCCATGGGGCATGGAGATAAACAATTTCCTGTTACGCCCTTTTGGGCCAAAACATGGATGGATGAATGGCTGTGACCGCACGTCAATAGATCAAATAAGCAAATACTGTCAACTCTGAACATCTACCTCTACTGCAATTTGACCAAATGGGCTGATTTGTATAGTATGTGTACAACATCGCATGATTTAAGATTCTCTAGCAACCTTGTAACCACACTCTTCTCACAGGCACAGGCGCTAATAGTGGGACTTCTGGCATCTTTTATTGCCATGATAACAGGTAATTCACAGTTCACACCTACTGTCAACACACCTACTATATTGTAAACAACTGTTTTCTACTGAAGAAAACAGCCTCTTAATTTCAATTCTCAATATTCCTGATCCTTGATATAATTACTAATAATAATATAATAATATAATTACTAACTAGTTACTTAAATTTAATATAATTACTAATTAGGTACCTCACTTTAATTAACAGTTTAATGTTCAGGGCTTGCTGACGGAACAAATCTTTCTAACATGCTGGTTCTCTTCGCTACAGGTCTTATAACTGCTTCACTTGTCAGCGTATTGCTAGGTTAGTTACCATACTAAGCAGTTAGCATAGTTAACATACTTAGCATAGTTAACATAGTTACCATACTTACCACAGCAACCATAGTTATCATAGTGACCATTACAACATAACTCCTCGTGGAATGATGAGAACTTGTATTTATTGCAAATTCCTTTTAATGTCATTAGTTCGTCACCAATAACATACTGTAGCGTGGCCTCCTAAAACACGTACGAAAAGTTTACAATTTAGAACTATTTGACTTGTGCGAAACAGAAAACTTTATAATATCTTCAAAAGTAACGAAAGAGTAAAGACATCGTTGGTACTGAGCCTATCAACCAACCCCATCGATAAGCCTGACAAACTGTATTTTACTCCAGCGTTTCAAATACAAATATTGATTTTAGAGGAACACCTTTCTCCTGGAATAACTGATTATGCAGTAAATTAAAAAGGTTTTCTACTTGTATATCAGAGAAAAAGAGTTTATGTTCAAATTCATTCGTTGTCAGTGCACCCCTATTTAGTTTAGTTCTCATTAATTTAGTGTTCTTACAGAGTGAAATGTAAACTGATCCCTCACACTAATCATACAGTACGTGTTGTCTGGTATGATATAAGATAGTGGTATCATATTATCATAGTGACACGATGAAAGTATTAGCTAGGGAGTTGCTCTGACAGTTTAACATTAAAATGACTGCATGTAGATTGTAGATAGGCAAGTAATTATCTCATGTCTTGACAGCAGGAGTGTTGTAATTACACTGCCAATTATTATGCGGAGTGTACAATATCTCACATACCAGACACTACAAGCCACTACTAGTTGGTGTGTAGGGTATACGTGTAAATCAATTGTCCAGCAGACAATGGCCCAGTTACCTGAGGTGTTTTAATGATATTTGTACATTGTATTGTGTAGTCTGCGGTCGATTGTGGTTATTTCAAATAAGATGCAATTTTACACTGTTGATGTACTCAATAAAAACAAACATTAATTCAACACCATTATGTTCAATAAAAAATGACGAAAAACATAATATATAAGTATAGAGATACAATAGAAATTAGAATTTTACGTTGAAAAATAGGTATAATATACATTATACCTATTGTTAACGTATTTAATCAATGTATTCTTATAGTTTATTTACGTGGAAAATATAATTTTAAAAAGCCATGATACCACAGAGTAAAATTTAATAGTTTCCTCGAGCGACCCTCCATGTAATAGTAATATCAGTATCAGTAGTTAGAGGTATACCAGCCTCTCCCTTTAGCTGGTAGACTGTAAGTAACAGAGTGTCAGAGTTGTAACTAACATGTTGTTGTACTCCAGCCCCTACCAGCACTTCTACTTTCTCACCAACCAGCACCACTCCAGCTATCTTAACACTGCTCACCACTCTCACCATCTCACCTGTAGTTACTGGTGAGATAGTGAGTTGTTGTTGGGACACTGTGAACTTCACCTGGTGTACCGGTCTGTTCCTATCCTCACTATAACCGTCATCTACAAACAGTGTCCCAGTCGCCTCCCCCTCCTGATCAAGGTAACAGTGCACTGAGATATGGGGCGAGCTCAGGACTTGTTCAGCTGTGGGGGTCTCCCCTTCTGTCTCTATAACAACAGGTAACACAGTGCCCCCTCTAACGAACACGTTGATAGTATCTAGTGGTGCGGGGAAGTGGGACACCACCTCCCCACCCTCAGAGACCAACTCTAGATCCCACACTGAGTACCACGTGGCAGGGGGAAAGTAGATCCACACTGTCTCTGCTCCTTCTTCTAGTGTTGGACACACCATTATACCTGGGATAGAGATATTTGTACTGTGTTTATAGTGTTAGTATAAATACTAACAATACATATCTGTGTAAGTAATCTGATAAAGTTTCAAACATGTTATCAACTCAGCTGAGTAAACGTGAAAATGTAAGTTTTACCTGCTCCTAACATGAACTGCCTGTCCAGGTCGTAAGTAAACTCCTGCCCAGGAAACTGCATGAACAAAGCCTGCATAACAGGGGTTCCGTCTGAGTGTGACTGTACAAACAGGTTGTAGAGGTAGAGGATGAGCCGGTAGCGGTACAGCAGCGCGCGGCGTATAATAGCAGTGGCCTCTGTACCCCATGCAGTGGGCTCCTGAGGTATCGCGAAGATAGTGTTGTGGTTGCGGGAGAAAGGATAGTAAGCTCCTAGCTGACTCCACCTGATACAGAGTTCTTTGTTACTGTCTCCTTCAAACCCGCAGATATCCGCCCCCACTAGGGGTATACCGTACATGTTCATGTTTATCAGGCCTGGTATTGTGGCCCTCATGTCTGACCAGGTGGACCTAATATCTCCAGTCCAGTGAGCAGCCCAGCGTCCACTTCCAACAAACGTACTCCTCGATAATACGAAGGTTCTGTTACTGGGGCGCTGGGAGAGCAGACCGGAGCGTGTTGCACGTGACTCCGACCACCCATACAGATTGTGTACATCATAATGGAAGTACTGGTGCTGTTGGGCTGTCATACAGAGAGTCTGCCACTGCAGGCTGCTCCGGACCCCTGGGAGATAAGGAGGTTCCTCCAGTGTGTCACTCCACGGGCAGCCCACACTAGACCCATCATAGAAACTTGCTGGTTCGTTCATGTCTATCCAGATGCCATCGTACTGCACAGTTTTAGAGAACTTAGTGAGTTGATTGCTCCACCAATCTGCTGTGCCAGGGTGAAGGAAATCAGGAAACACAGTGTCACCAGGCCACACATTTCCGATCAGTAACTCTCCTGTACTGTTCTTGATGAACACATCCTTCAGTAACCCACTGTCTGCAGGTTCGTAGCCTTGACCGAACCGAGCATGTATAGCAGGGTCCAGTATCATCACGTATTTCTTGCCTGACTTGTGCAGTTTGTTCACGTACTCTGGTAACTTTGCAAACCTTTTACTCAGTGTGAAGTCCTCATACTGGTCCATGTGGTCTATATCATTCCAGTGCACATCTACTGGAACCCCTTGTAGCACCATATCCGCCATCACACTCTCCATATACTCCGTGTTGTTATATCCCCACCTGAATATAGTTAGTGTTAAAGGGACGGGGACGGGGACGGGGACGGAAGGTATGCAGTAAGATGATCTGTTAGGTAACTGACCTGCAAAGATGAAACCCCAGTGACCAGATGGGAGGAAGGAAAGGTTTACCAACACGTTCTGTGTAGAGTCTCACTACATCTAGAGGGTTGTTTCCTACGAAGATGGAGAAGTCTAATATGCCCCCAATAGTTTTCCATGTCACAGAGGGAACAGGAGTCTTTGTTAAGAGTATGTCCATTGCGTTAGAGTTCATCAACAAAACACCGTTACTCCTAGAACTGCCCGCTGTGGGGACATTGGGGGTTACACTAAGAAAGTTTATACTAGACGATACTTGACGTCAACTCATGTGATGCTGAGTTAAACCTTATATAATATAATATATGGCTAACAATTACCTGACTCAATGTTAAGGTAGAAGGGGTGGGACCCGTATAAGTTAGCTCCCTGTCCCTGTAGGTAGTAAGCCCCTTGTGTCCAGAGAGAGTGTATCTTATTATCCATGTCCCTGAGTAGAGGTGCCGAATCCTCTCCTATACCGTACAATATTGTGCTAGGTAGTGTCGTTCCTGGAGTGTGTTTTATATCAAGAATAGAAACTGTCGACAAAAATTATTGACTGTAATTTTAAAGCACTCTCTATCACTTGGAGTGATACTGTGAGTTTAAAAGTTGGCTAAGTTCCAGGTAAAGTACCAGGTACCAGGTAAAGTACCAGGTACCAGGTATAGTACCAGGTACCAGGTAAAGTACCAGGTACCAGGTAAAGTACTAGGTACCAGGTAAAGTACTAGGTACCAGGTAAAGTACCAGGTACAAGGTAAAGTACCAGGTACCAGGTAAAGTACTAGGTACCAGGTAAAGTACTAGGTACCAGGTAAAGTACCAGGTACAAGGTAAAGTACCAGGTACCAGGTAAAGTACTAGGTACCAGGTAAAGTACCAGGTACCAGGTAAAGAACCAGGTACCAGGTAAAGTACTAGGTACCAGGTAAAGTACCAGGTACCAGGTAAAGTACTAAGTACCAGGTAAAGTACCAGGTACAAGGTAAGGTACTAGGTACCAGGTAAAGTACCAGGTACCAGGTAAAGTACCAGGTACCAGGTAAAGTACTAGGTAAAGTACTAGGTACCAGGTAAAGTACTAGGTACCAGGTAAAGTACCAGGTACCAGGTAAAGTACCAGGTACCAGGTAAAGTACTAGGTAAAGTACTAAGTAAAATACTAGGTATCAGGTAAAGTACCAGGTACCAGGTAAAGTACCAGGTAAAGTACTAGGTAAAGTACTAGGTACCAGGTAAAGTACTAGGTACCAGGTAAAGTACCAGGTACCAGGTAAAGTACCAGGTACCAGGTAAAGTACCAGGTAAAGTACCAGGTACCAGGTAAAGTACTAGGTAAAGTACTAGGTACCAGGTAAAGTACCGGGTACCAGGTAAAGTACTAGGTACCAGGTAAAGTACCAGGTACCAGGTAAAGTACCAGGTACCAGGTAAAGTACTAGGTACCAGGTAAAGTACTAGGTACCAGGTAAAGTACCAGGTAAAGTACTAGGTAAAGTACTAGGTACCAGGTAAAGTACCAGGTACCAGGTAAAGTACCGGGTACCAGGTAAAGTACTAGGTACCAGGTAAAGTACCAGGTACCAGGTAAAGTACCGGGTACCAGGTAAAGTACTAGGTACCAGGTAAAGTACCAGGTACCAGGTAAAGTACTAGGTAAAGTACTAGGTACCTATTTTGAGGAACTGGTTCTGAAAGACCAGTTCTTGTGAGCTGGTGTCGAATATGAGGCTCTCATCGTCTGACCTATGTATCTGAACTGAGAAGGGAGACTCAGTAATCGACACCTTGTATCTCCGTTCTGTGTTGGATATTATCTTCTCGTCGGTATCTGGATACGGTACTTCGTATCTCTTGTTATTAGGATCCAGTATCTTGATCCTGACTCTAGCTTCACTCTCCAGAGATATGATCACACTTAGAGGAGATATCATCTCCTTGTCAGGAGATACTAGAGTTGCTCTTATCTGAGTGCTGTCGGTCCGTGTAACGTTAACTGCTTTGTAGATAGAGTGTACTGTACCTACGGGGAGTGGTTACCTTTCACTTTAATGTGGAAATAGATTAATCATAATTACATTTTAGTTAAATTTAGGTGATATTATTATTAAAATTTAATAACTCATAACATTATTAAACAAATACTTACTGTAATTTGATTTGGGACTTACCGATTATGAGGACTCCTAGCAGTAATCTCAGATTCCACATGATATTACAGTTAAGTGTAGTGTACACTGAACACTGTGCAGTGATATCTTAATGTAGCTGATCTGATCCGGATATTACTTAACTGCTAACATTCGCTTTTATATAACACAAATATAACACAAATAAAACTGAGAAGATGCGAAATAAAGTCGTACGGTGAGTAGGTTTTGTATTTCAAGTCTGACACATGAGATAAGAGTGAGATTAACACGCCTGTACTCTCTCTATCTCTCTCTCTCTCTCTCTCTCTCTCTCTCTTTCCTTGATTGCTTTGGAATGAGATAACACGTACAAACAAGAAATTAGATAACACGAACAATTAGATAGCACGGACTAACTCAACTGAAAAAAGGGTGTACAATTAACATTAACTTCTCGACCATCCCACGTGATTACATACTTTGGTCCTCCTCCAGAAGTTTCCTTCTTCACTTCAGAATAATTACCCTACGTGGTGTTAAAGGATATATGTTGGGTTTCAAATACGAGTGCCACTTACCACAAGAACGCAGCACAGAAGATGAGATTATCAGAGACTCAAATAATCAGAACACAGAATACAGACTTAGAATAATGTGGACTGTACCAGAATAACAAAATTAATAAAAATTACAATTCAAGTTTAACATGTTAAAATACAGGCACATTATTATTATTATGTAGCGGGTTTAAGTAAAGAAGGAGATAAGGTCCTTATTCCAACTAGTATTAAGAAGCAAGGTATTGGATGAGAGCAGGACTTTACAATGAGAAGACAACTTTAGGTGACATAAAACTAGATTTAAGAAAGCCAGGGTGGTGTGCTAAATGTGCATTATGATATTTATTTAATCAAGAGTTTTCTTATCAACTTATTGAGCACCTTCTCTAAGTCCCATAATGACTTATTGTAGATCTTTTTCTAATTTACTTTTCTAAGTACTGTTTCTTCCTAATAAAACGTCGAAGAATGAAAGACCGAAATAATTGAACACTTCATATCAGACACAGTGCCGAACAAAATTCGAACTGAAGCGAGAAGTTTTGAAATGACGGCTGGACTTAACTTTTTTTCTAATACAAAATTAATGGTTCCAGGACTCTGGGGCGTGAGACTCTGGGGTGTGATATAATAAGACAGTGATCAATTATAAATATTTCAACTATTTCACTTCCTTTAAAGTTCGGAAGAGATTCAGTGATTATGTTAAACCCAACCGAAACATTAACCGAAAATGTGTCCCTTTCCTGATTTAACAAGATCAAAGTTTTGAGGTTGTGCCTGAAGATCTCATATTAAGTTCCCCGAAATCAATATTTAAATATCACTTCACTGATTCCAAGAAAAGAAGAAATCAGGAGGAAGATTCCAAAAATTACCAGGTTATACTGAGTCAGTATATTTTTACTGAGTCAGTATACACATAAAGTATACACATAAACTCGGGACCTCAGTATTACTGAGTGTATGTACATACAGTGTAGAAGTGCTGGAGACTTCCCACCCTGGTTAACCTGTCACGTGACATTACATTCTCACCCGTACACTGTTATTATTAACATCTCCTCACTCGTACAACATGATTTACATGTAGATTGCTTATCTTGCAGTATGGTATACACTGTGTACCTCAGAACACAGTGTACCTTAGAACTGCTAGATAACAAAGAGATGTAGTTTTTGATGTGAAGTGCACAATACAAATACAATGGTGTATACCTAATAAATACAAATTATTCCTGGCGCTGGCAATATTAGTCATGGATCTGAGAATATTCCCGTGGACACGTCTTCTGCCCCGAGGTTTTAGAGGAAGAGTTACTTCCTCCCTTAAATGGGTGGTGTTAGTTGAAAAAAACAAAGTATGTAAGTCGTGGATCGGTCATCAAACTGAAAAGCCGGCTGAAATCCAGTGCAGCGTAACGTCGTTCTAAGATAAAAAGATTACCCTCCCGCTTACCCAAAAACCATCCTTATTCCCAAAATCTAATTCATAAAATTATGGAAAAAAATTGTCTACGGAACATCAAATTGATTTAACTACAAAACTGTTTAATAGTATCCTAGATAAAAGAACTGTGCTTCAGACTGTTCCCACGCAATAAGTAATGGTAACGGTTCCTCCTGTCTGACTCCACTGGTGGCAGGTCCTCTCCAAGAATTATAACTTAAAGATCCTCTTCCAGTTCTCTGAAGTCACAATCTTGATCTTCCCTTTCGCATGATGGCGACTGAGGTTTAAATGTGTTACAAAAGTCTTTCTCTTCCTCGTCTGCATCAGTCGAATATATCTGTAAACGTATCCGGATTATACTTCTCTGGTTCAGGTACTCAGGTATGCTGATGCAGCCCATTGCTGAGTAGAACCTGAAGAACCAGGACGGCTGAAAGTCGTCTGGGTCGTAGATGTACACTCTGTCTCGATTCCGCTGCTTACTGCGGAAGAAAGATCTAAACTTAGATTTCACAGATTTAAAACTTGGCATATCGTAAACGAACGTATTGAACGATTCTAACTGATAGCAAGCAAATTGAAAAAGAATGAAGAAGCGAACGTGTATCTATAAATATGATGACTCCTTTATCAAATCCTTTTTTCAAACGGTGGATTACACACGTGTGGCTGATATCTAAGTATCTAATAATCTGCGCGGCTTACACAAGATCTACACCAGTCGGGTTTGTTTCAGTGTGATATTTCATTTTATTAGATTTCAAACTTCCCCACTTACTAATTAGTGCATTTACTTCAGTCTTTTGAGGGTTCAGTTTCAGCAAAGTGTCATGTTATACACTAAACTTGTCAAGCTGAAACTCAACGTCAAACTGTGCAATAAATTGGCACTGTGGGTATTCGATTAGCTTGTCCCTAATTAAGTTAGAGAGTGTGGCTTACTTGTGGTACTGTAAACTTAAAATTCTGAAAATCTAAGTTACGTTCATTGAAGCGACTAGCAATACAAAATTGATTCCCTGAGTAAGATTTCTAGGTTACTCTCGTATGCATGATATCTAGTGTACCAGTTTCCACATTATGATTGCTTCAGCTGGACAACGGATTATGACACTTCTTATGCACCACTTAACTAATTGCTTTATTGGAGCCTGGAGCTACAAGTCGATATAATATGTGATTAAATATTGGCTTACTTCCTCAAAATTAAGTTGGTAGCGCGCGAAGTTCTTTTTCAGTAAAAAAGTTACAAACGATATTAAAAATCGCATTCTTTACGCGCATGTGTTTCCAAAATAATTATGTTTATTTGTTTTATTGTTTATTTTCTACTCCCACGCGACTTATTCCGGAAGTAATACTTCCATTTACCTGGGGACCCAGGCTGAATGTTCATATTATCGCATCTCTGATGGGAGACATGGTGGAATGACCGGATTAGCGTGGCCCATTAATACTTCCATGTGAATAATATGACCAAATGTGCTCAATCACTCAACATGAACATTCGAATACTGAATCAGACACCAATTACCACGAGAAGGTTAAATGGGATCCTGGTGATTAATCAGTCTACGCTCGTTATCACGTGACCAACTTAAACTCATTCTGTAAACCGATTATGATTAGTAATCATTCTTATTCGCCATTGGTGTAATTGGTCATACCTACCTATTGCCTATAGCTTTAATATAATATTTCAGGGGGAACAATGTGTTTGATAGTGCTCGGTTCGTCACATTACCAATGTAATCCGGACAACATTTCAACTCCAATAGCAGCAAGTTTGGGAGACTCCATTACTCTCGGCATCTTATCACTTGTTGGCAGTGTTCTCTTTCACATTCCAGGTCAGCATTTGAGTAATAATTATTACTTTATTCACATATCTTTTCTTTATTCACGTCTTCATTTTTACACATGAAAGTGGCAAATTTGTAGCTAAAGTACGGACAATATGACTCCTTATTGCAGATAAAGAATTGCAGATAACGTTGTGCAGTCTGGTGATAGCACTGTTCATATTAACAATTCCTCCCCTGCTCATTTACTCTTGGAACAACAGATATGCTCGCCCAGCAATACTAAAAGGCTGGGTTCCCATTTTACTGGCCATGTTAATTTCTAGTGGGGTGGGTATTATCATGAGTAAAGTGGCTGAATTGTATCCTAGTGTGGTTGCGTTCCTCCCTATTATAAACGGTTAGTAGTTACTTCAAACCAGATACCCTTCTTGTATTACTCAGTTTACATCTTTAGTATTTACTTGACCAATGACCATGATTGAGTTATTGAGAGTTAGACTGCATTAAGGACTGAGAAACTAAAGTATATACAAAATCAGGTATTGGTGGGAACTTGGCAGCAATCCAAGCGAGCCGGCTCTCAACCTCATTCCACCTGCTTGGAAGAACAGACTTCTCTGAGTACAGAACGTCCTTATTTTTACTGCTTCTAACAATCCCCGGACATGCTGTCTTCCTCACTGTTAAGGGACTGGTAGATCCGACTCACATTGGGGTCCCATTTTATACTGCCTTCTTCTGCAGCGCTTTAATACAGGTAACTATTATCTTAGTATTATATGACACGTATTTACATGTTACAGTCGACAGTACTGGGTTTTAATGTTACAAACTAACCCCAAACTCCTTAAACAGGTGTCCGTACTACTCGGAATGTCGTATGTGTTGGTGATGTTATCTCCCCTCCTCAGGAATCTGGACCCGGACCTCTACTCTATACCCCTCCTCACTGCCCTGGGAGACTTCCTCGGAACAGCACTCTTATCTCTATCTGTCGTTCTTTTAGACTCAGCCGAACTGTTCACTCCGGGGAACTAACTAACATTTCATGTTTCATGTCACTATTTCAATTTGCCTCAACCAGGTGGTCAAATAGTTAACACTTAATTTAACTTGACGTAATATTTCTTATATGTGACCCACAACTGCTGCTTCTATTTTTAGAGAATAAATTAACGTCGATGTGAATCATGATTACTAAACGATTTGATGGATTATTTTTGTCGCAGCTTTTTAATACGACGTAATTTATTTGTTATAATTATATTGAAATTGTTAATTGTCATAATCACTGTTAGATGAAATTTCATGAAATAAATTGTAATGTATGTCTCTAAAATTAATTAAAAGTCCGTATTAATATTATTGCCCCCCCCCCCCCTCCCGCACCTATTATTATTAATTTCCCTTCAGAATTATTTCTGATAAGTTATCAAGGGCAGGAACCGAAAGTGCCCATTTTCCCACGATTTGTCACATTTTGTCAATCTTGTCGTATACTGTCATATATTGTCGTATATTGTCATATATTGTCATATTAAATTTCGTATATTGTCAAATGTTGTCGTTTATTGTCGAATCTTGTAGTTAATGTAGCGCGATGCGTTACTGTGCCACATCTTGTCATGATATATTGTCATATATAATGTCAAATATTGTCGTATATTGTCATATATTGGCACATTCACATAGCCATGTGTATACACGTACTGCGTGACGCGCTTGTTTCGCGCGCTACTGCAAGCGAGAGGGCTCTGGTTAGAGCAAATTGGCACATATTGTCACATCTTATCGTAAAATTGACATTTGGGCAATTTCGGTTCCTGCCCTAACAACAATAACATTAATTATGGAATTTCGTGATCAAGTTCATTCATTCCAGTTTTTGTTGTTTCGCGCCACGATAAAGCTGCGCACACGTGCGCGGCAGGTCTGCAACGTGTGACAAAGTTTTTGTACCCAAACTTTGCGGATTAGTTGTGATTATCGTAATTAAATGGAAAATGAAAAAGCGGTTTTTTACAAAATCACAATCGAAAATAACGTCAATTATAAACAAACTCATACAAGAAACCATAAGTGATATCATTAACCAATTCAATCATTAGAATCCTGTAGACCAAATAAATTATGCGGTAACATTTAAATCAATCTTACGAAACTTAAATTCGTTTTGCAGAACGTTGCTCTATCCTAGAAACCCAACGCACTTCAGAACGTATATTTTACGGTAATTACGTGCAATAAACGGTTTATTGGGAGTTTTACTGTATTGCTTCTTGCAATTAAAATAGGGTAGAGCTGCGTACTACAAAATACTTAAAACCATAAGTTCCAAATAAATCGTAACCATAGAAACACTGACTGGCGGCCAATCAATGGCGTCATATTTATCTAAAAATTTACATAAAAGTGAAAAGAAGATACCCCAACATAGACAAGAGGCTTTGAATCTTTCAAAGAGATTAAAATCAGGAAACCTGGTGATCAAAAATATTACACAGCGAAAGATTTCTTAGTACCGTCACTGAGGTATAAAGAGACAAGTTTAGTAGCTTCCCATTTAAAGAGGGGAGATTTAGAGGAATGGTTGCTGGAGAGGGGAGGTAGAGCGTCCACTACTCGCACTAGTTTTAGAGGACCTGGAGACATGAGGGACAGTAGCCCCGAACTACTCTGCCAAATAGAGACACGTCCCTCGTTCTCACTGAATGTCACCAAGGTACGCCCGTTGGTTGCCAGGGATACGGCGCTGGTGGGTGCGTTGTGAGCGTGGAGCGGCGTACACTTGGTGTTCTTAACATCGAACACGTGCACAAGCCCCTCCGCAGAACCGACTACTACTTGTTGTGTAGCCGCACAGTAATCTATCAGAACGTTCTTAGTAAGGGACGGTACGAGTTCAGATAAGGTTCTGGTCTTAAACTGATCGGTGTCGATGCAGAACAGCATTATCTCCACTATCTTCACTATTATCGCAGCCAGGTCGCGTACCTTCGTCTTCTCTATTATATTCTGAACCTATGCGTTAATTTAGTTATATCTCATTGCAAAAATACAGCCTTTAAATCAATTAGCTCCTCCAGTCCTCCCCTGCCAACAAAATATAGTCCCCCTCCCCAAAACAATCTGATAAAGTTAAACCACTGACCAGTAAATATATAGGATATCTCCCTTTGTCTAACACAGTGTGATAAGATGAAGGGAACACAGACAAGGACTGTATAGACAAACCAGCCTCAACGTCGCACTTACTGAAACAAAAGGATATATTCAAAATCGTAGTAAAATAAAAAGTGTTACATTTCATAAACTATTAAATTACAAAGTGTTTCATTTTAAAGTTTCATCGAAACCAATGATTACACGTGGTTACATTTTTGAGAATACCCGATGTAATTTTGATTAAGGGCACTGAATAACTGAATAAGACTGTTAAAATATTCCACAGATTTTGAACGTTTCAGACCCTCCGCCAGTATTTCGGCGTAATAATCAATACAACTCACAAAGTCATTATTTCTTTGGAAAGGGCGGTGACAGTCTGCTGAGGTCTATTGTTAGCTATGAGAATGCTGGCCTGGTAAGCTGCCCTCACGGTGGCCGCCGCTGCTAGACACTCCTTGTTTCCTGGAATCAAGTAATAAAGTCGTTACATAAAGTTAAGCAAATATGTATACCACTCTTATATTTAATCATATTACAAAAATCTCAAAATGCACAAAAATATTTCTAATATTTCAGTATTACCTGTAATTATTAATTAATTAATTAATTACCTGTGCCAGGTATGTTGCCACTCTGAGCGATTGCTTTCTTAACCTCAATAGGAACCAGAGGATCAGTCTGCAACTCCAGCAATGTCATTACAACTGCTGTTAAGTTCACAAACTCGCACCACACGCCGAACCCTCTACCTGCAATACAGGGTACAGTTACTTTCACACAAACTAATAAATAGATAGAACACACTATTTTATACACTTAATATTAGGTGTAACTATTTTAACAAACCTATAGTTACACTTAATGAGTTATTAATATTACGTGTAAATATTTTACAAACCTATGAGATCTACAGAAGCCCTCCTAATGGGGGAGTGGAGGGGAAGCTGGGAGGGGGGTTTAATGAGCTGTGAGAAGAGGTGAGCTGCAACTCCTCGCAACATGTCGTGCGTCAGCAGGAAACCTGGGGTATCATTATTATTACTTACTAAACATGAATATGAATTGTTAAGTAAGTTTCTACCCGACAATAACTATTATATAACAAAGTCAACAAGATATCAAGATAAATCTACTGATCTGACAAAAAGTTAAGTTAAATCTACTGACTAGATCTGATAACATCTCTGCGTTCTTGTGAAGTAACGTGATTCCTGACACTGGTGACCTCCACCTCGTCGGGGAACTCTGACACAATAACCCCCAGAATAATAACTGAGACTGGGTAAGAGTCTGCTGGTAGATCCTCGTCTTCTACCGACACACTACTCCTACTCTTTTCGGGCCGGTTTATAAACTTTGCGAAATATTCAGGGATCAGAGGCAGGTCCATAGTGTACACTTTCTCCAGTGGTTCAGGCGGGTTGATGTCTCGTTTCCTCACAATATAAGGATACCACTGGTTCACTAGCTGTTGTCTTCCAGTGAAGCCTATCCTGCGTAACTCCCGTAGAAACAGAGCCTGCGAGGCTTCCCTTACTTCCATACACCTGAAAATAATAACTCTTTCAGTTTCGCTATTCAAGACATGCGAGGGAGGGAGAAGGGGGCAAATGGATTATCACTCTTAAATAGTGAAAAATCCGGGGAAAGGGAGGGTAATTAGGGTAATTAACCAGTAGTATTACCTGTCCTGCCACTTGAGGGCGAGGTGAGTTAGAAGAGGAGAACAGTAACCCGGCGGCACGTGCTCAGGTAGAACTATACAATGCATGGCAGTCACGTGACTCCAGCCCGCCTTCTTCTCACTCTCGTTTATACTCTGTCTTAATCTCTCTTCTCTCTCCCACGTCTTATCTTCTGAAATATACTCTCGTTTTACTCTGCTTGGAATGTGATAAATACTGACAGGTTACTATTACATATGGATATCATAGCTACTATAATACCTCAGTTACCATAGCAACTGTAATACCTAAGTTACTATATCAACTTTAATACCTCTTTTAGCAGTGTTGTTTTTAGCGCGTCTGTTGAAAGAGAGAGTGAGATCAGTTGACATTTGTTTGTTAGCAAGTGCTGAAACTGATAACAGGTGTTGTGTTGTGTAGTTAGAGTTGAGGAGATCACCACTCCCAAATGGAGCCTGAACTGGATTGGGACTCTGAAATTTAGGTGGGAATTGAAATAATAAGTATATAATAACTTTTAAGGATAGGCCCTATGAAATTTAATTTGTTAAATGAAAAGTTATTCTAAGTTACGTTTGTGTACCAGATAAAGTACCTGTTGTTGTATGCTCTGTTCCCAGCCAGGTCACAGTAACATGAAAGTAAGAGCTGCCTCCCCCAGTAACCGTAAGATAACTCCTTGCCTGCACTAGCAACGCCGAGCTGTGTTGATAGTGCAGTTTTATTCAAAACTCGGTGGTGGGGGTGACAAAAGAAATTTAAGACTTATGTCTGGGATTATATTTCTGGAGAAATAGGAAAAAAATCTATTTAAATAATTCATTTTTGACCTTGTCCACTTTGTACTTAGAGTAGGAGATAGAGTCGAACTGAGCAGTGATATCGTCAGGCTTAGAAACTTCGATTGAAAGCGCAGGTCGGAAACTCATGTGGAGTCATATTGGCGAATGCTCGAGATTTGTCGGAAAAAGTCTGGAAGTCAAGCTTGAATAGTTCACATAGTTCAACAAGCATGGTATATTTATTTATTTCTAATTATTGTAGTTTCGTTTAATTTTGCTAAGGAATTAAGCAGTCCTTTTTAAATCACAGCTGGATGTTCTATTAAGTTTTAAATTTTGACGATTAATATTTCCAGCTAATTTTTGCAAAATTAATATAAACCACGAGGAAACTCACGTTGTTCACGAGGTTCAGATTTGACAGTTCCAATCCACTCGACATGAAGAAGCGAAAACCCCTCGTTTAGCACGATAATTCATACAATCAGTAATTATTATTGGTATATTTAATTAATATAATTACTAATTAGCGGCAAGTTACAAAAGTTCATCACTCAACCATCATTACAAACACAGGCTCCGCACTGTTCCACCCCGTTACCAGAAACATACACCCTCTGTTTCCTGGGTAAATTAAAATAGGATTACGGTTAAAAGGACATATTGACAGAGTACAGTATGTAATGCGGATTTTAAGTTAGTAGCAAACAGTGTGATCTCAGCTAGTCCTACAAAACACCGAACACAAAGTACCCGCACAGCCTATCACTATTATTTGATTACAGTCCAAAAACTATGCCTCCGGCCCTCCATCAAACAACGTATATAAACTTTGAGATGTTATAAACTTACTGTCTTATTGTCCTCTGCAGCAAGTCTGAGGTTTAACTCGTGAGAAGCGATGATGAAGATGATAGCAGTTACATGCAAATCATGTATGAGTTACAGAAATATGAATAGCAGCGATGTACACTTAACAAGAATTGCTCATGATATATTTACATGACACAGTGGGCTCGTCACCAAGAGCGATCGAGCAGACGAAACAGGCTGACAGAGAAGTGATTCGAGGGGTTGTAAAGAAGGGTGTAAAGTATAAGGTAGCTCAATGTACGAGTGTGCACGTGGTGCGCGGCTCCGACTGGCACTTGTGTTAATAAAATAACCAGAGCTGATATAGATGATTTCCCGCCAAATTGAAACAGCTAGTACTGTGTCTCTAGAATGTTCGCTTGGATTGTTATGACAGCTTAAGAACAGATATTTACTACTCACAGTTCAAATTCTTTGACGATGAAATTGTACAATGTAATAGGTTATTAAATAGTTGAATTTATCGATGTTTAGCTACCGAGCTGGTTTGCGTGATGTTGAGAAATTTGTTGATTTTCTGCATTTCGAACCGTTCTTTTTTCGAAAAGGACGCCAAGCCGTTACTGTCAGACGACTAACATTAACAACTGAAGAGGTGTTCCTTGCAGAATCCGGTTCGAGGTCGGAAAACGTTAAGCAGCTGTGAGCTGTAAGTGAAGCGAGTGGAGGTAGATATTAAAAACTCTCAGCTGCTGAATGAGAGGAGTTTTGATGGACTATATGATGCTCAACTAGCTTTTTCCTAGTTTCCGTCACACACAGAGATCGGTGTGTAATCGGTCACGTGCGGGTCACGAAGGTAGGGATTGAGGCGCTTAGTGGCGGGCATAGCAGTGGATAATATGCATAGGCCAATTACGCGCCATATCGGTATAATCAACAGGTGGAGCTGGCTGATGAAGGAGAGTTGCAGGTAGCCGTACGTGCTGAAGTAAATATTTTTGTAAACAATGTTAAGTATAAAGTTAACTTTTTCTAGGCTATACAACAATGCCAACGGTGTGATGAGGTAGCATAGTTGGCGTTGCAAGGTTTGTTTGTAAGATGGGTGAGCGCGAGGATTTGTCTGAACCATCCTCGAAATCGTTGTTACGTTGAAAACTGTAACTCAGCTCGATTATCATGTTACCTAGCTAGTAACTTGGTGATTGAACAGAGAGTGGAAAACCAGACGAAAGTAAAGATGAACTCTCGGGGACCGGGGAAGCGGCTGATGATGGGCAAAAATAATTAAAGCGCCCTAGGCCGCTCCCCAAACCAGACCAATAACACATTTTCTGAAAATTTCTAATTTTCGAGGTAAAACTAAAGGTAAAATAGGCATACTTGTATGTTGTAGCTAGTAATCAGTTGTAGTTGTACTCTCGTGCACGCTTGACGCTGGCCGCGCGCGATCAAAATATTAATTGTGGAATTTCGTGATCAAGTTCATTCATTCCAGTTTTTGTTGTTTCGCCACGATGCAGCCGCGCACACGTGCGCGGCAGGTTTACAACGTATGAAAAAGTTTTTGTACCCAACTTTGCGGATTAGTTGTAATTATCGTAATTAAATGGAAAATGAAAAAGCGGTTTTTTACAAAATCACAATCGAAAATAACGTCAATTATAAACAAACTCATACAAGAAACCAGAAGTTATATCATTAACCAATTCAATCATTAGAATCCTGTAGACCAAATAAATTATGCGGTAACATTTAAATCAATCTTACGAAACTTAAATTCGTTTTGCAGAACGTTGCTCTATCCTAGAAACCCTTGAACGCACTTCAGAACGTATATTTTACGGTAATTACGTGCAATAAACGGTTTATTGGGAGTTTTACTGTATTGCTTCTAGCAATTAAAATAGGGTAGAGCTGCGTAATACAAAATACTTAAAACCATAAGTTCCAAATAAATCGTAACCATAGAAACACTGACTGGCGGCCAATCAATGGCGTCATATTTATCTAAAAATTTACATAAAAGTGAAAAGAAGATACCCCAACATAGACAAGAGGCTTTGAATCTTTCAAAGAGATTAAAATCAGGAAACCTGGTGATCAAAAATATTACACAGCGAAAGATTTCTTAGTACCGTCACTGAGGTATAAAGAGACAAGTTTAGTAGCTTCCCATTTAAAGAGGGGAGATTTAGAGGAATGGTTGCTGGAGAGGGGAGGTAGAGCGTCCACTACTCGCACTAGTTTTAGAGGACCTGGAGACATGAGGGACAGTAGCCCCGAACTACTCTGCCAAATAGAGACACGTCCCTCGTTCTCACTGAATGTCACCAAGGTACGCCCGTTGGTTGCCAGGGATACGGCGCTGGTGGGTGCGTTGTGAGCGTGAAGCGGCGTACACTTGGTGTTCTTAACATCGAACACGTGCACAAGACCCTCCGCAGAACCGACTACTACTTGTTGTGTAGCCGCACAGTAATCTATCAGAACGTTCTTAGTTAGAGACGGTACGAGTTCAGATAAGGTTCTGGTCTTGAACTGATCGGTGTCGATGCAGAACAGCATTATCTCCACTATCTTCACTATTATCGCAGCCAGGTCACGTACCTTCGTCTTCTCTATTATATTCTGAACCTGTGCGTTAATTTAGTTATATCTCATTGCAAAAATACAGCCTTTAAATCAATTAGCTCCTCCAGTCCTCCCCTGCCAACAAAATATAGTCCCCCTCCCCAAAACAATATGATAAAGTTAAACCACTGACCAGTAAATATATAGGATATCTCCCTTTGTCTAACACAGTGTGATAAGATGAAGGGAACACAGACAAGGACTGTATAGACAAACCAGCCTCAACGTCGCACTTACTGAAACAAAAGGATATATTTAAAATCGTAGTAAAATAAAAAGTGTTACATTTCATAAACTATTAAATTACAAAGTGTTTCATTTTTAAGTTTTATCGAAACCGATGATTACACGTGGTTACATTTTTGAGAATACCCGATGTAATTTTGATTAAGGGCACTGAATAACTGAATAAGACTGTTAAAATATTCCACAGATTTTGAACGTTTCAGACCCTCCGCCAGTATTTCGGCGTAATAATCAATACAACTCACAAAGTCATTATTTCTTTGGAAAGGGCGGTGACAGTCTGCTGAGGTCTATTGTTAGCTATGAGAATGCTGGCCTGGTAAGCTGCCCTCACAGTGGCCGCCGCTGCTAGACACTCCTTGTTTCCTGGAATCAAGTAATAAAGTCGTTACATAAAGTTAAGCAAATATGTATACCACTCTTATATTTAATCATATTACAAAAATCTCAAAATGCACAAAAATATTTCTAATATTTCAGTATTACCTGTGCCAGGTATGTTGCCACTCTGAGCGATTGCTTTCTTAACCTCAATAGGAACCAGAGGATCAGTCTGCAACTCCAGCAGTGTCATTACAACTGCTGTTAAGTTCACAAACTCGCACCACACACCGAACCCTCTACCTGCAATACAGGGTACAGTAACTTTCACACAAACTAATAAATAGATATAACACACTATTTTATACACTTAATATTAAGTGTAACTATTTTAACAAACCTATAGTTACACTTAATGAGTTATTAATATTACGTGTAAATATTTTACAAACCTATGAGATCTACAGAAGCCCTCCTAATGGGGGAGTGGAGGGGAAGCTGGGAGGGGGGTTTAATGAGCTGTGAGAAGAGGTGAGCTGCAACTCCTCGCAACATGTCGTGCGTCAGCAGGAAACCTGGGGTATCATTATTATTACTTACTAAACATGAATATGAATTGTTAAGTAAGTTTCTACCCGACAATAACTATTATATAACAAAGTCAACAAGATATCAAGATAAATCTACTGATCTGACAAAAAGTTAAGTTAAATCTACTGACTAGATCTGATAACATCTCTGCGTTCTTGTGAAGTCACGTGATTCCTGACACTGGTGACCTCCACCTCGTCGGGGAACTCTGACACAATAACCCCCAGAATAATAACTGAGACTGGGTAAGAGTCTGCTGGTAGATCCTCGTCCTCTACCGACACACTACTCCTACTCTTTTCGGGCCGGTTTATAAACTTTGCGAAATATTCAGGGATGAGAGGCAGGTCCATAGTGTACACTTTCTCCAGTGGTTCAGGCGGGTTGATGTCTCGTTTCCTCACAATGTAAGGATACCACTGGTTCACTAGCTGTTGTCTTCCAGTGAAGCCTATCCTGCGTAACTCCCGTAGAAACAGAGCCTGCGAGGCTTCCCTTACTTCCATACACCTGAAAATAATAACTCTTTCAGTTTCGCTATTCAAGACATGCGAGGGAGGGAGAAGGGGGCAAATGGATTATCCCTCTTAAATAGTGAAAAATCCGGGGAAAGAAGGGTAATTAACCAGTAGTATTACCTGTCCTGCCACTTGAGGGCGAGGTGAGTTAGAAGAGGAGAACAGTAACCCGGCGGCACGTGCTCAGGTAGAACAATACAATGCAGGGCAGTCACGTGACTCCAGCCCGCCTTCTTCTCACTCTCGTTTATACTCTGTCTTAATCTCTCTTCTCTCTCCCACGTCTTATCTTCTGAAATAAACTCTCGTTTTACTCTGCTTGGAATGTGATAAATACTGACAGGTTACTATTACATATGGATACCATAGCTACTGTAATACCTCAGTTACCATAGCAACTGTAATACCTTAGTTACTATATCAACTTTAATACCTCTTTTAGCAGTGTTGTTTTTAGCGCGTCTGTTGAAAGAGAGAGTGAGATCAGTTGACATTTGTTTGTTAGCAAGTGCTGAAACTGATAACAGGTGTTGTGTAGTTAGAGTTGAGGAGATACACCACCTCCCAAATGGAGCCTGAACTGTATTGGGACTCTGAAATTAGGTGGAATTGAAAATATATAAGTATTATATAATACACTTTTAAGGATAGGCCCTATGAAATTTAATTTGATAAATGAAAGTTAATTGTAAGTATCAGTATGTGTGCCAGATAAAGTACCTGTTGTTGTATGCTGTGTTCCCAGCCGGGTAACAGTAACATGAAAGTAGAGCTGCTCCCCACAGTACCGTAAGATAACTCCTTGCCCGGAACTAGGAGCCCCAGGTGCTTGACACAGGTCCGGTCTATGTTCAGGTCCACACCCCAGGCGTGGAGACATGACAACAGCAGGGAACATGTTAGTTTGATGATGTCCAGTGTCTCCTTGTCGTCCTCTTTGTCCTCTATGTCCTCCGAACTGCTCTTTATCTCCGCAGTGTTTTCCACCGGTATCTCTGATATCACACTTCTCTCTTCCAGTAACTTGGCCGTCTCTGTCTGTTTGATTATTGAGGTCCGTCTGTCTGATAGTCGCTGATCCGCACGTGCTGATGCGCGCCGCCTTTCCGTTACATTAGGCTGGGACTTGCTCCTCTCAAACTCTGCGTTAAAATGGGATTTAGAGTTATAGAAGAGATAAGTTTTGAATGCTATAATTCATTTGAGAAAGAAAACGAAAAATAACTACACACAGGATGTGTCTTAGTTTAGTACCACTGACCATGAGTCATGATGTCTCCCTGAAGTTGAGATAGTAAGTGTAAGAGTAGCTCCGTATCAAAGAGTAGTAGGTGAGACATGTTGTCACCAGATGAGAAGCTGAAGGGAACCACACTGAGACCGGTGCTGTGTCTGGTTACGCTACTGGAGGCTTTTATCTCTAGTTTACAGTGCTCGCCTTCACTGAATGTTTGACAGGCGGATACCAAACTCAGAGCCACTGCTCCTGTTTCTATTCTGTCCAGGTGTCCTGTACTCAGTCCCCAAACGTACACTGTGTCATCTGCCAGGCATAAAATTGTTATTAAGCAAATACCTTTTTCAATCTATAATCAAACAATCGCTGACTAATCCTTACTTAGAAAGTGAACGAGTAGTATGTCCTAACCTAAAAAGTGAACGTGTTAGATGTCTTAACCTAGACAGTGAATGAATAGGATGTCCTAACCTAAACAGTGAACGAGTAGGATGTCCTAACTTAGAAATTGAACGAGTAGGATGTCCTAACCTAAACAGTGAACGAGTAGGATGTCCTAACTTAGAAAGTGAACGAGTAGAATGTCCTAACCTAAACAGTGAACGAGTAAGATGTCCTCAGTTAGCCGCCATCTGATCTCCAGTACTCCAGTGTGATGACAGGATCCCACAAACAAGGGAGTGAACTGCGCGTGAGTTGTTATTGTGATACTGTTATCTTGACATACTGAAACTACACTTCCTCGCAACTTTCCCTGTGGAGTTGATGTTTGTGAACATCAACAAATGCGGCATTAATAGTTTGGCAGTGTAAAGTTGACCAACCCTGCCAATCTTTAAACCAAGTTAATTTTATTCATTCACTAAATCAGAGGACTAATTGAGAGTGTCCACTAAATACTAACAGTGGCTTGTGTTGGAGGTAAGAACAGTCTGGTTAATGGTCCAGTGTGAGTGGTAAAACTCTGAAGTAGCACCACTTTCTTCCAATCCCAGATCTTCACACTGAAATCAGCTCCTGAACAAATTTTACAGATTTACACGTGTCTGGGACCAACAGAGTGCTTTTTTTTCAAATAATACGGACATGAGATTAGTTTGATGACTGACATCAGTGAGTGATACAAGCGATCAAGGTTGCTGTTTTACAATCTATATAGTCCGAGACGAAACGGAATCTCGTTAGCTTTTCGTGTTAAAAGCGATTTCTCAACGGTTATCACCTCTCTAGATGATTCTTAAAACATTTGGACTTCATGGCAAGGTTGAAATACATGCAATGAGGGCGTTTTCGGCCACACCCTTTTTCAGGGTTTCGCGGTCACTCGAATTATTGTATTTCAGCCCAGGAAGGTCTTAAAGACTATTCCGATACACCAAAATGTGCCTAATAGCCACATTTATATACAACTTATGAAGCAACATATACCTTAAAATGCTTTGTTTCGGAAATATGGCCGAAAAACGGTTTTTGGCTTGACGCAGTTCATAATTTCCGTGATTTTTGGCATTTCCGCCTAGGAAGGTCGTAGAGACTATTCTGATACACCAAAATGTGCCTAATAGCCACATTTATATACAACTTATGAAGCAACATATACCCTAAAAGGCTTATTTTCGGAAATGTGGCTGAAAAACGGATTTTTGTCGAGCAAACAATGACAATATTCACAAATGGGCTATTGGACTGTTAACTAGAAAGGTCTTAAAGACTCATGAGCAACACAGCATTTGTCACAAGATGTAAGATGACTCACTTTGTGTCCAGAAACACCTACAAAAATTGGAGAATGATCTACTTTATTGGGCATCTCTTTTAATGGGCCAGGCCAGCAGCATATTTGTGTCTTACGAAATGGCAATTTTTCAAAATTACGGTTTCTTTAGTAAAGGTCAATGGGTCAGTTGCAAACAGCAAATTGTTCGCAATTGCCGACTCATGCACATCATATACTCAAAAACGCTCACTTTAGGAGTCATTAGTAAATAACTAATACATGATTTGTGAAAACTCCAACAATTTTTCCTTGGTACAAATTTAAATAAAATGTGTGACGTGCCAGACCAAAATTCAACTTCAAACTTTTTATTTATTCATGCCATGAAACCATGATATATGTTCCATGAATACCGGACCTAAAATAAATCGGCACTGGATCCGGGCCAGATTGACGCTTGACCACTGACCAGTATAAGTACCCCACTTTATAATCATAATTGACTTCACTGCCTCGACCAATATTGGTCTGTAATCCCTGGATTGAGATCTGTTGGCTGCAGTTTAATTTAGCTCATTTACCATAATAGTAATACCGCAGTGGTTTGGTTCGCATAGATTTTCCCATCGTATGATAATGTGTGTCATTCCCTCGTTTTTTAATCAAGTGGTTACTGGCTAGCTCTTTTTTATTACAGCTGCCTCGAGATCTTATCTAGGGCACTAATACATTAGTACTAGAACATTAGAACTGTAATTCTAGAACTTCAGATTAAGATTACTTGGCCGAATGGCAGGGTTCGAGATTCGACTCTAAAACGCTCAGTTTAGGAGTGATTAGTAGATAACTACTGCATGATATGCGAAAACTCCAACTAGACAAGGATCATGCTTAATCAAAGTGTTCCTCGAATTGAACTTAAGTCTTGTAACCTACTGGAGTTTGGGCCACTGAATTGATCTAGGTAAACTATAGGTAAAAATATAATATTAATCATAAGCTAAAATGTACTAATCTTTGTATTCTAAATGGGGAAAAGAAGAAACATTGTCAGTCAGTCGAGAAAATTGTCAGTCAGGCTATATATATATATATGAATACGAACTGATATTAATTTTAGAATGTCGGGAAATTCATTAAGATTTTTATTCTTTGGTTTTTTAATTGTGCTACGAATCCGAGTTTGAGTTGATAACCCCGAATTTCCTGTTTGACTCTCAAAGAAAGGAACCAAGGCTTACGTTCCTCTTTTTGGCTCTGAGATCCAACTTTAAGATCGGACTTCGGAGATCCTCGCGTCGGAGATCATGTAAGTGTAACATCAGTACATGACATCAGACTTTTTTGCTTGATATTGGACCTATAAATCTAATTATATATTCGAAACAGCACGAGATGTAACCAAGGTTAATTTAGATAAGATATACCAGCTTTAGGGGTTACAAGACCCCACGAAAGGCAGGCAGAGCATCCTAAATCCTCATGCTATCCTCACGTTGACCATCTAGGTCCAAACTCCAGCCTCTCATTAAAAAACAGCTATTAGGCCCGAGATCCGTCCCTTGTCCCGTAGTGTCCCGTAAGTAAGAGATCGTTCAGATTTTGGTCATTTAGACCCCCTCCCCGCTCTAAAATCCACTTTACCCAAAGCTGGAAAAATGTCACATGTGAAACCTAAATAGCTAAATCAGCATCTCGAGACCTTCTATTATAAAAACCCCGTGATCCTACTATAAGATTATAACTTATAAGGCATAAAGGCATTGCATGCCGAAATTAAGATTCACTTCAACTGGTGATGTGAACCTGGTATGTTACCTGAATGCCCTCAGTCAAATCTCGAACCCTGCTAATGCTATTCTGCCAAGTAACCTTAATCTGAAGTTCTAGAATTACAGTTCTAATCTTCTAATGTTCTAGTATTTGTGCCCATGCCCCAGATAAGATCTCGAGGCAGCTCACAGCTGTAATAACAGAAGAAATAGCCAGTCACCACTTGATTAAAAAACGAGGGAATGACAGTTGACACACATTATCAAACGATGGGAAAATCTATGCGACTGAAAAAAAGAATATGGGGTCATTCTGAAGTGGGAACCAGACCACTGCGGTATTATAAGAAATTAGCTAAATTAAACTGCGGCCAACAAATCTCAATCCAGGGATTACAGACCAACATTGGTCGAAGCAGCGAAATCAATCATAATTAAAAAGTGGGGTACTGGTCAGCGGTCAAGCAACAATCTGATCCGGATCCAGTGCCGATTTATTTTAGGTCTGGTATTCTTGGTACATATATTAAAGTCACTATTGTGACGGTACATTAGAACTAGACAGAAACAAAGTGTGAAGGGCCTGAACGGAACCCCTCGGTTTCAATTCCTTGTTTAACACTGCCGTACAGCAAGGACATTCGCCGGGTTCTCCAAGGATGGGCACATAACTCATTATGGTTTCATGGCATGAATAAATAAAAAGTTTGAAGTTGAATTTTGGTCTGGCACGTCACACATTTTATTTAAATTTGTACCAAGGAAAAATTGTTGGAGTTTTCACAAATCATGTATTAGTTATTTACTAATGACTCCTAAAGTGAGCGTTTTTGAGTATATGATGTGCATGAGTCGGCAATTGCGAACAATTTGCTGTTTGTAACTGACCCATTGACCTTTACTAAAGAAACCGTAATTTTGAAAAATTGCCATTTCGTAAGACACAAATATGCTGCTGGCCTGGCCCATTAAAAGAGATGCCCAATAAAGTAGATCATTCTCCAATTTTTGTAGGTGTTTCTGGACACAAAGTGAGTCATCTTACATCTTGTGACAAATGCTGTGTTGCTCATGAGTCTTTAAGACCTTTCTAGTTAACAGTCCAATAGCCCATTTGTGAATATTGTCATTGTTTGCTCGACAAAAATCCGTTTTTCAGCCACATTTCCGAAAATAAGCCTTTTAGGGTATATGTTGCTTCATAAGTTGTATATAAATGTGGCTATTAGGCACATTTTGGTGTATCAGAATAGTCTCTACGACCTTCCTAGGCGGAAATGCCAAAAATCACGGAAATTATGAACTGCGTCAAGCCAAAAACCGTTTTTCGGCCATATTTCCGAAACAAAGCATTTTAAGGTATATGTTGCTTCATAAGTTGTATATAAATGTGGCTATTAGGCACATTTTGGTGTATCGGAATAGTCTTTAAGACCTTCCTGGGCTGAAATACAATAATTCGAGTGACCGCGAAACCCTGAAAAAGGGTGTGGCCGAAAACGCCCTCATTGCATGTATTTCAACCTTGCCATGAAGTCCAAATGTTTTAAGAATCATCTAGAGAGGTGATAACCGTTGAGAAATCGCTTTTAACACGAAAAGCTAACGAGATAGCCTTTTAGAACGGTTGGGATCCGACTAATATCTCGGTCGGGCTCGGCTAGTATGATTAAATTTAGCTTGCTTATTACGCTCGCGCGCGCGCGTCACGTGACTTACAAACGCGCACAAAAGCGCACTTTTTAAGCTTCGCGCGTTACAAAAAAGCGAACAAATTTCCGTCTCTAATATTGCCACACTATTCCACACGCGGACTTTGTTTTCAAAATTTGGCTAAAAAGCTTCAGTTATAATAGAATCGTTATAAAATATATATTGGCAATTCTTGAATCGGAGCATATATAAGAGGCTGTAAATCTAATAACATTAATATAAAGATAGTAAAGAAGTACAACTTTATGACTCCAGGAAACGATAGCGGTATAGAATTGTATCAGATACTGTACTCTTATAACTGTACTGGGTAACACGCCTCATCACTAGACAAATAGTTACTGTTAACATCATTCTAGTTACGAACATGAATACGAATCTGTCGCATATATCTTAAAGAAATGCCCAAAAATGTTACCTCCACTGTAGAGAATGCTAGGAAGATAAGAAGAAGGTTGGCTGGCATGAGGATATAGCAGTACACTAACATTCCCTTTGTGCCCCTTTAACCTCACTCTCGAATCTATCTCCTCTGAATCTTCTGAAATATTTATAAAACCTTCATAACGGTGTTTCCCAACTTTTTGCCAGAGGATCGGATCTAACTCGAACAATTATTTTCAATCATGAATAATCATCTTGTTAAGGATTAATTACAAGTATGAAGTCTATTATTTATAGAGTGAACTGGCAATAATCTTAAATTTGGTGCATTTTCAATGTTAATGTCTAGTCTAAACTACTAAACTATTAGTTAATGTCTAGAATTCACCGCTAACACCCTCTGTCCAGAGGCGGCTATTGAGGGCGTCCAGGCGTCCGTGGACGCCCTAAAATTATTATCTGGTGGCTGGTGCTTAAAATAGAAATAGCAATTAGTAATAGTGTTAGGAATTAGGAAATAACAAATCGCAATATAAAGCTCTTTATTCACTATCATACGTTTTAATGTAAGCGCACGCATGATCTTCGTGAAATTTTGTGTTGTAGGGAGTCCAACCCTACCATTGGACTACTCAGCCGCGCAGTTTTAACACATAGTTAATTGTAAACGTTACAAAGCACATCGTGCGCATCCCACTACAGGTAATCTATTATGATTTGCCTCGATTTGAGGGTCCAGGACCCTTTGCAGTTTGAACTATTGACTGCTATGATACTGCGCGGCTAAGATCGTACACGTGTGGTGTCCTGTTTCAACCATGTTATAAGTTTTTGTTTTTGTTTGCTGTCGCCTGTAAAGTGTTACACATTACATATAACAAGGCCCTGTGTGTAATGTAATCGGTAGTTTGGAGGGATCAGCTTGAGCCGGCTCCCAAGCCCCCCTCCCCCCCCCCCCCCAGTCCATCGATTGGACCCCCAACAAAACTGCCAGCCAGCTCCCACGAGCCGCCTCTGCCTCTGTCTAGCCGCACGAAAAAAAGACTCAATATCAGTACACGACTTTATCAGCACATGAACATTGAAAAAGGTTGGTAATGAAGAAGGAATATGACAATATCTTACCAGTACACTTGAACAGGGAGTGAGTAAGGAAGTGATGAACTAGTCCTACAATTATATCACCAGAGGATAGCCCACAAGCGATGTAAGATAGACTCTCCAGATAGACACTCGCTGTTATATCAACCGCATCACCGCATCTGTTACACTGTACATTGAGTCTGTTTATACATTAGAATAATTAACTATCGTAACAGCAGTAGTTTTAAATGTAAGGAACTGATAAGGCAGTTTAAGGGGGCATACGCTAAAACTGTCCAACCCAAATTACCTCATAGGAAGTTCAGTAACTATCTAGCTGGACATTTTTGGTGCATGCCCCCTTAAGAGGGCCAGGGGGTCACATTATGGTAAGAAAGTTCAAATATTTACCTTCTCATTGACTAAAGCAACATTGTCTTTGTTCCAAGTCTTTGATAGACTGGTATGTATACATTCCACTAAACCCTCACTAGCTATATCTTTCTCTCTATCTTGTTTCCATAGTGACAATCTGCCGTCCCTATCTCCTCTAATCAGTACATCGTGTGGGGTTCTCATAGATTTCTTGTGCACTAATAAACATTCCTGCAATTAACACAATATTAAATAACATAGATTAATTAACATACTTACACTATGTGGTCAATACGATACTAATAATTGGTAGTTAGAAAATAAACTAAAGAGTTGCAACAAAAATATGAGAAGAGAAGTATACTAAGGATTAAGGATGGAACTTATGGTTACTGAATAGCAAATAACATATAGCAGTTGTACCATGAGAGGCCCAGTAGGTACACTGTACAGAAGAGTAGGGGGCTCTGCGCTCCAGGAAGCGTCACTGTGATCTACGGGGCGAATAGCGCGCGCAGGCAACTGGTACACGTACAACACTCCGTTCTCTCTCCACAGCATTATCTTGTCCACTGTGTAAAACTTACCACCACTCCACGGTACCTCCTGGTTACTGGCTCCAGAACATAACAACACAAAGTCACCTGAGAAGGTATTATTACTTTATTACCCTTAATTAAACACTAAGATGTATCTTATATATTATTATTACATATATATACTATATTACTTTCTATATATAACTTTGCGCTTTTCATTAAGAATTAAAACAATGCATTCATATTATAGTCAGGGTGTGGACTGTGGACTGGCTACACCTGATAAATGTTATACGTTGTCTTATTTTAAGATGGGTTTGATGGCAACAAAGACTCAAAGAGTGAAAAATCGGATGCTCTTACAAGACAAACAGAAACCAGGTCCTGACTATCTTTTTAGTGCCATATATTATATTATATTCCGAGTTAATTCTTCAAATGTAATCACCGACTATTAGAGTGTCTTGTGTGTATTTTTTCCTTTCACACTTTTTCTCGTAAAAATAAAAAAAATCTCGTACAATAGTCCAAGCTGTTCAGTGCAATTCTAAACTTCTTAACCTATAGGTTATGGATGTGTAATATCATGTGTAGCGTGAAGCGTTGTGTTTTTTTAATCTGTAGTTCATAGTACTTCATGATCACAGTGTACTTTTTGATAAACCGTGTGCAGTGCCCTTTCAAGAGGGTTTTTTTAAAAGAATTCTTTAACGTTACTATTTTCTATCTATTACTGTTTGTATTATAATTTTGAGTAAACATTAATCGAGTAAACCGCTCGATTCCCAATCAAAGTAATGGTGAAAGGTTACGAATGGACGTTTTTGCAGAAAAACGTGGATTTTGGAGAACTAGGTAGGTGGGTTAAAATATGTCGTGTTCCTTACGTCCGTTACCATGACAACTAGCCACACGCAGTGCAGCGCGCGAGTTTATTTTAATGTATTAATGTATGTAATGTATAGTATTAGGTAATCAGCCCAATTTGTACGTGGCACGCGTATTGTACTGATGTGTATCAATATAATTATTATGAAGTGAGCTGATTAGAGCTTATATTTATAGTTATAGTGAATGGAAATCTAGTGTCCGCCAAAAAGAAACAACGGGTGCAATTCTTGTTATAGTTGTTTTAAACCTTTTTTGTCCTTGTAAAGGTCGTCAAGGAACTGGTCGCTGTTCTTCCTATGGCGCTAAATTTGAAAAATGAAAGATTAACAAAACAAATGAATTACTGACCGGCCCTGTAAATCCTCCAAATACTCTGACACACAATGAGGCAGTTGTAGAGACTACGAGGGTTGTAAGTGACACACACTGGTCGGGGACAGTTCAGTATCTTGGTCTCTGACTCTAATATCATCTTCTCCCTTCCTTCAAACTGCAGGTTCCAGGTTTTGATCTGCCCGTTAACCGTAATACAGACCACCTCCTCGTCCTTAGTTTTAGGAGGCTGGAATACAGTGTAGCACAGGACCCAGTGAGTAGGGTCGCTGGGTACCAGGTGATGTTTTATATCTAGGGTATTGTAATCCAGAACTGTTATAGCGCCGTACTGCCCACAGACTAGCACGTTCTGGGATGAGGGCAGCGTCTGAAACAAGTTGGAATTACAACAACTTACTTCTTCAAATAACATATCTTTTAACCTTAACATATTATTCACAATCTATCTCTAAGTGATCTTTAAACAATGAAGAGAAAAAGCTAAAGCACTGAATGAAATACCTGCAGTTTGATGAGGGGTCCTTGAACTACAGTGCTCAACATATAAGAACCATCCGTCACATTCCATTTAAATACCTCCCTGCAACGAATATCATTCCCGGTTATGTCATGAAACACAAACATTGATATAAAGAAGTACTAACAAAATGAAAACACCCTGAATATCATAATAAAAATGTTATATGTTATAATGAGTAATTATTGCATTGTTGTTAAATAAGCTACACGAAGCTGCACATTAACTGCACTTCTAACGATACAAGGAAACTAACCCGTTAGAAGCAGCAGATATGATATGAAAGTTGTTGAGTCCAGATACCAGCTGGTCCATGCCAACCACCTCTGTAGAATGTCCAACTAGGAAGTTCCGGGGAATCAGGGCTTCCGGGAACACGTCACACACCAGCAACTGAAAAGAGAGCTCACAATAAGTATTTCATTTCAAGACTTACTTCACCTCCCACCCCTTTGTTAATCATCAACAATAATAATTATTCATAAGTAGACATATAGACTGTTTAAAAATAAATGATTGTGTAATCAACCTGCCCCTCGGTGGATCCCGAAATGAGGACTTTGTCATCACGTGAGAGAAAGAGACAAGAGACGGTGTGGGAGGGTGGTCGTGAGCCCCAGAGCACTATGGGGAGGAGCATTGAGCTATAATATCGTATTAGTGCTGATGTCTTCTGTCATTGTGTAACTCAGCTGTACTTCCTTGCTACAGCAATTTATTGGCATTAAACCAAACAGGATTTTTAAAGACGGTAAAAATCCGCGCGCCTAAACACTAATGCTTATTACAGAAAACACAGCAATTAAGGTGAACAATTCACCAAATTTGTAGCTTTTAGGTTCTCTCTGGTAGAATCATACCTTACTACATACCTTACTACATACCTTACTACATACCTTACTACATACCTTACTACATACCTTACTACATACCTTACTACATACCTTACTACATACCTTACTACATACCTTACTACATACCTTACTACACATGTATACTTTACTATATACCTTACTTCATACCTTACTACATACCTTACTACACAGTACATGTATACCTTACTACATACCTTACTACATACCTTACTACATACCTTACTACATACCTTACTACATACCTTACTACATACCTTACTACATACCTTACTACACCTGTATACCCTACTATATAAGGAGGGTGCCTGTCCTTTTCTGATATTCCTGACAATTCAAGATGTATATAAATCTATAGAATTACCCTCATAGAAGGTTTTGCTGAACTGGGGCTAGTTGAGCTTGTAATTTAATATTGAGGCATATTATTCAATATTATAACTTTACACTATGATATTACAAGACATTGTGTGTAATGTGTATAAGGTCACATGTGTATAAACTAAAGTTACTCAATTTCAATCCGTAGAGGGATTGAAATCCAGCTTGCCAATCATTCATTTGCCAAGATTCACCCTCTTTTGTTAAAAATAATCAAATATCGATAACTTATAGTATTGAAAGTCAATGCATTATCAATTTGCTATCTGATAATAATAATAATAATGAACTTTCTGTAAATATTTTTTTCTAATTAAAAAAAAATACTACTTTCCGATGTTTTTGATACATAACATCATGAACAACGTGTGATTCATAGTTACGAGTATGTCGATTGTCGATCTTATCTCACACAACGATACCAAGTAAAGTTATCTGATTAAAAAATTTAAAAAACAGTCGATGGTGCAAGAAATTGTGGTATTAGATTTACCAGTGACCAATCAGTGAGGTCAGTGTGAGTGACACAAGTCACCATCGAGGTGCTGGAAGCCGAATATCCGGAGAAAACTTTGATGGAAGGAAAATTATGAAAATTTCCTACCGGTAGGACATTTTCAAACTTCAGCTTTCCAAGACCCAAATTTCACTGTTTTAATACTCAATTTTTCTTCAATGACCATTTAATGAGTTCACTGAGAATGGCACAAGATCTGGATAAAGTTCATTGTTTTATACAGGTTACAGCCAGCGGCATAACGTTGTATGTTGAACAAACTCGTAAAGCCATGCGCAATAATGTTCACGTGTAGAATATATGATCTTTTCATGAATGATAAGATTTACTCAACTAAATTCTCATAAAATTATACTTGATGCTTTTATTGCAGATCTAGCAGAACTTTTGAAAACCCTTGTCAAATGTGGAGATTTTGGTAAGATCTGAGATAATATAGTGAAGCCAAATAAAAACGATGACTGTCTGATGGAGTGTGAAATATAAAATCATGAACTCAAAATGTTTATCTAACGTCATCAATGGAGAGATTCTAACTTTCATAATAAAGAAATTGATTATTCTTCACAATACCACATTCATGATATTGAAACTTCAACAAGCTCTCATTTGGTGGATATACTCAATATTTTCATCAAACTGTGGGAAAACTACAAGTTTGCGATTGTACAACTTTTACAAAAAGATTATATGTCTACTATGTCTATGAGCAGAGATAAATGCATATTTCAGTGGCACAAAAAATTTCTGATACACGAATTTGAAGAAATGCTACGATATAAGCAGTTAAGAAACTGTAAGATTCAACATCACAGTATTACTCACTGGCTTAAATACAAGCATTAAAATGAAAAGCTTGAATAAGCATGATTGTATAATGTATACATACCAATTTATTTTAGCATAATTTGTCAACTACACAATCAGACCTTAACAAATTTCATACTACAGATTCGATAGCTGAGATCAAGCAAGCAAGTAACTGAACTATAAGACGTAAACTATAATCAGAAACATGTACCAGACAAATTATGAAAGGTCACTTTCACCTACTTATATATTTAATACTAGTTTCCTCAAAATTAGTATAACTTTGAACTTCTAACAACTGAATAAAAATGAGGGAGCTAACAAAATAATTACTGTACAAAAATGATCTCTTAGCATCGATGATAGTAAGAACAAAGGTAGCACAAGTAGAATCAGGACGGATACTTGATCATGTGAAAAGCAACAATAATAAGCTTGTCTGTGCTGAAGGGTACCCTTACTAAATTCCAGATCACTTAGCAGATTTTCTCCTCATTGAATGATAAATGTTTGATCGGAGGATAAATTCATTTCACATGACAAAGGACCCGACACTGCCGGCTGCCAAAAGATCTGGAATCTTGTAGGGGTACCCTTCAGGTACCTTTAATACAGATTAATACACTGTTATGTAGACCTAAAGTTATGTAGACCTAAAGACTGTAGCACTGCACAGTCTTTAGATCTACATAAGTATTGTATATATAATAAGAACTATTCATTGACTATGATGAAGAACTCGATTCTGTTAAGAATAATTTCATGGTAGCGCTCGATTTTTCTCGCCGATTTTTTGAATACGCGGCGGCGCGAAAAATTTATTTTAGAATCGCTTCAAAAACTTGTTTTAGTAATGTTAAAATATAAAATAACATTACCTAACAGCAATCAAATATAAAAGTTTTTTGGGTAATTTTTTCAAAGGAGATGTAGTGTGTAGGAGCCAAATTAATTTTTACGCGCAAAAAAACTTTTTTAAAGTTTTTTCTAAATTTGACGAAGTAACATTGCATTGTCAATTTGGTTATTTGATTGATACCAGCATGTACAGCGTATCAAAAAATATTAACTATTAGCAACCAGAATATAAACCTTTTCTTGCAATTTATTCATTGAAATTTCCAAAAACATCAAAAACGGTTTTTTCGAATTAGAATGGATTCATTTAAAATACTTCCAACCATTATGAATCGTATCAGTGGTCAAAAATACGTTTTTTAAAGATGTTCATGCTGACGGATGTTACTGATATACATTTGTTTTAAGTAGCACGCGCTGCTTTAATCTCGAGGCTACGAAGTAGCGCGCGCCGCGCCGGGTAAATATATTAACAATGGACACATATTAAATTAAGTTGTGCTCTGGGTATCGAGAATAAAATCCCCGTAACAGCTTTTACTGTAATATATTGACAAAAATCTGTCATGTTGAGAGTAATTCAGTTTCGAATTAAAAAATTATTGTATCACGTCGTGACCCCCACGGTGGTTTCACTACCCCTGTAGAGTTTCTACGATACAGGGGGAGCCGCGCACTCGTGCGTGGCGGCAACCACACAGATTCGGTCCAGTTCTCATCACCTTAGAATTGAAAGGGGGAGATATGACAAAACTCCAATTGATGAAAGGACCTGCAACTATTGCGAGCTTAACACCAACCAGCTATTCATCGAGGACGAGAATCATATGCTCCATTTCTGCCCCCTAGGGAAAGGTCCTAGGGACAAATTTCAAAATCTCAGTGGAAACCTACTCAACAATGTTGGTAATGGTAGCTTCAATCTTGCCTCCACGTTCATGTCGCAGTCTGATTGCAAGAATACTCCCAGTGATGAGGACGTAAGTTTGATCAAACTCTCAACCAGCACCATTAACAAGATCTACAGACTAACCCTCAACTTCAAAGACAGTCTGAAAGCAGATAATTAGTTTCCTTTCTCAGTTTTCTATTTTGTATTCTTTCTTTTTTTTTTCCTCTCCTCCCTTTTTTCCTCCCAGCTTTGAATCTGTGATGGATGTGATGGAAGGCTTGCGTTCACTTTTATCCCTACATGGGCTCCCGGCCGTGCGTCCATGTAGGAGCTGTGGGGCCTTCCGAGTGATAGGGTTACAGTGACTGCTAGTAGAGAAAATATGAAGGTTCCACCAGTAGACATAAGTATCGAAAGCAGGGCATTGGCTCGACCTCCGAGGCGGGGTATCCGTGAGGACCCTGGTCGTAATCAGCTCTGCACTGTTTCAGTGTATCCTGATGCCTGAAATCTCGGACACTGCCTACGTACGGGGTAGACAGCCACGGATGATTTTGTCTGTGAGCTTTTCATCACTTCCTGACATGAGCCAGACCTCAGCTGGATCCTTCCTTTTCCTTTTTCTTTACTTCTCGTTCAGTCTACCTCTTCATCATCAGTTTCAGTTGCTTCGCCTTGCATTCGAACTTTGCCTCCACAGTTCACCACGGCACCTCTTTTGGATGCCTCCTACCGGGCAACACCAGCTCTCAGACACTGGCTAACTTACCGCGCACGGTTTAGTTTATGTGTCTTTTCTGTGGCCGTGTATTCCGTTTTATGCCACCCTCTCTGCCGTTCTCGCGCTTGCGCTCACCCACTCCTCAGTGGGCTGTTCATTTGACAGAGTTACTGGCTGGTACTCCCATCATCTTCTCACTCACCATCACTGCCCAATCAAATTTATACAATCAAAATCACTATACACCCATAATCATATGATCAAAACACAAAGCTTTGAAATATACTTTTTTCTGTTTGAGATTTGAATAACGTTACTGTAATGTTCCAAATTTGAAATTATATTTTAAATGTTCAAAAAAATGTTAAAACGTATGACAAAAAATAACAAATGATTGGCCTAAAATTAATGTCACGAAATTGAAATTAAATTCTTTTTTTGGTTGAGTGTCCTGCCGAAACAATTTTTTATTGATTATAAAAGTAGACTTTTAGAAACCTTTGAGAACTTATAAAAAACTGTGGAATTATATCATAAACAGAATTATAGGAAATTAAGCAGATCTTCAACTTACTGGGCCGCGCTCAGCCTGTCATTCCGCCTAATCTCTTAGTAGAGGCTCTTACGGGCAAAAAGGCGTGTTTTCTGCTACGAGTTTAGAGATCTAACC